GTCACCGACTCCCACGCCCGCACGCCTGCCCGGCGTGCGCGTGCTTTGGCACGTGCGCAGGCGCGTGCGTGCGCGTTCGTCGCGCGCTGAAGCATCCGGCGTGTGCTTTGTGCGAGCCGTGCACGAGTTTTGCCGAATTTGCGATGAAGCGACCCCGGACATTGCCCAGAAGCGTGCATCTGTCTACTCACCGGAAGAGACCCGCTCGGCCGTGTGTTTTTAGCCTTTAAAAGGCGCTTCGCTCCAGCCCACAGCAGTGGCGCCATGTATCGCACGGCCGTCGCCGCGCATTCCTGAAATATTTCTGTAGGGGGCGCAGCTGCAACGAGGGGACGCCGGCGGGCGCGCGCTCCTGCCCTGCTGCTGTCAGCTGCAATCGATTGGGGGTTCTATGAGCTCCCCGCCCCGCCGACCACATGACACGTGCTGCTGATCTGCGCCCCGCCAGACCCCTCGTTCCCCTGGGGGAGTGCCCGGGGCGCCAGCGTGGTGGTGGGGCGGCCGCTGCCGACACCCGGCGTTGTGGCCTCTGGCCAGGTGTGACATCAGGGGGGGGGGGGGGGCAGCAGCGGGCTCACATCTGCGCACTGATGGTGAGGGGCCTCCGCCAACGGCTGCCCGAGCTCCACCGGGCCTCGCCGGGTCTCGCTAGACCTCGCCGGTCGTCTTGGGGCCAGAGTCCGCCCGAGCGGCCGTGTGGCATGACATAAACAGCATCACGCGCTCTCGATCTACTTACATCTATGTATCCACCTCAAACTATTCCATGTTCGCATTAATTGGTGCACTTTTTGTGCACGAGCCATGGTGTACATGTAATCAAGTTGATAAAGAAGCGGGGAGCACATGCCAGCGGAGGTCACTATGTGTGTAATCTCCTACCCACACTGATACCGGGCTTCTAGCGAACCACTTCAAATCAGTATAGCCGGTGGACCAAAAAAAACCCGACTGGCCTTGATAAAGGTACTTTAGTCAGCGATACACGAAATGCAGTATTTAAGAAAGTATGTGCAATAATGCAAGAGCCTGATTAGCAGCACATTGTCAGGACACATTCAAAAACTAATTCGAACTTCTTGAGAGGAAGGATTTCTGGGATCATAGCTCACGCTAAGCAGTGCTTGTGCGAGCCCTGGCCCCATCATCCGATCATGCGATGCTGGGTCAACGGCAAAATTTGAAGGCAAAAGTCTCCAAATTTTGCTGTTGACCTGGCTCGGCAATGCGCGGCACAGTCCCTCCTGCCCTCTGGCGTCACCTAATCTTAAGCGCGGCCCTTGTCACCGGCCGCAGGTCATGCCTGTCAAGAAAATAGCGAGCGCCTAAAACGACTCGAATCCACCCGCCACGGATGGGCGCATCGGAAGGCAGGCGTTCTGACGTGCTAAGATGCGGAGGCGGCAATCTTCGAAACAGACAAACTGCATCGGGACATAATGCAGGTGCGTTTACACCATTGTGTAAATGATGGGAGAAAATAGTGAGTACAGATGGTTTGTTGAATCTCTTTCTGAAACACCGTAAGGCGACCCGCACATATATAAAGGTATGAGTAAAGGTGCATAGGATTTAGATAATATGATATGAACAGAATAACTCCTGCTTGAAGACAGTGCTTGCCAAGTTTATTTAGGGCTTCTTGGGCTATTTTTTCCTGGGGATGGGTCAAATTACCTAGTTTTTCCCCTACGAATTACCTACCGAACCCAAAAAAAACAGAAAAACGCAATTGGAGTACATTTGCATTCTTACCTCCTATTGGGAACAGGACAAGCAGCGGATATATAGGTCCAAAGGAGTATTCTATGCAGCGATTGTGTTCAGGCAGTGCTAATCAAATCACGTAATCGAACTCTGGCCTTTTCGCCCGTGCGTGAACATTCGATGCCCGTGGAAACACTATCATTCTTTTTCGCTACTCCAACATACATGTTCAGCTCGGTGAACGTGATGCATGGAAGTGCACGTGACAGAATCACCTTCCGGTCAGTACCACCCTCTCGGTGCCGCCTGGCCGGCTGTCTTCCTTGAACCAGATATAAATGGAGTATGGAAATGCTCCCCCATCCCACCCTGAAGCTGTCGTAGCTTGGGGGTACTCCCCCGCCCTGCGGTTGGGAACGCCTGAATCAAAATGCCGTAGTTTTGCGTCTACGATAGTTTTGTTTTTACGTTGACGACAGCTTGCTCTGAACTTCGGAGAACGCACGAGGCTCTGAAGATTCCGTCCCCCTGCCTCCCTGCCCCCTGACCATGAAGACCAGACAAAGTGACACGGCTTTAGGCACGCTCCGCAGCCGTTGTATGATAACTCACTTTAATCACCATTGCCGGCCTGGCCCACTGCGGCCATAAACTCCTGGCGCGAGTGATTTCCCAGTGTCCATACATTACTCTAGAGCGCTGGCTTCATGCATGTATGCAGGAACATTGATACGGTGTACCCGATAACCCCACCTATGCTGTACCGTAATTATACAAACTCACGCTTGCGCATCGGCAAGAGTAACACGTGCCACGGTAAACTGACCTTTTGGTACGTCGGTAGTCTGCACAAAATGCGCCTGGAGCCGTGCAAATAGCACAGCAGACGTTTAGGCGACACAGTAATGTAGTTAACATTGCCCGTGCTTAAAGGGAATGTTTCCCATTTGTATGGGGTTTTGAATCGAAATAGCCATCTTAAAGGTTATTTGGTGCACTTCAAAGCCCTGCCCTTCTTAAAGCTTAAACTCATCTAGTTTCTGAGCTACACGCCCGCGACTATGTGCAAACTATTCCGTGCAGACTACTGCAAGATCAACCGGGCATGCATGACGCCATATAACGTCATTCAAGTCATGCCATTCCATTGGCCATGCTGCGGGCAAGGCCCTGAAGATGTAATTGTCGCGCCGCTCATACCTGACGTTCGTGAGCACAATTTCCGGATGCGTCGGCCGTCAACTAGCTCTCGATTCTTACATAGATATATTGTGTTCTCCAGAACAGTCTTTTCCATTGAAAGTACAACAACAGTTTTAAGTGAGCTTGTTTCATCACATCTGGCGCCTGCTGCAGTGTATTCAATGTAGAACGTTGCCTTTAAGATTGAATTTGCTGACTCTGCGCCGGTGCGCGCCTGTTTTGCATCACGCAACGAATAACTGGAAGAGGTGGTGGTGTGATCCATAGAGTCCAGTATTGGTGAGTTACAAAACCCTGATGACGAGTTTTTTGTATTGCGACAGGCCCTGGTTGTTCGCTTCCAGTTGCTGTCAATATTGCAATAGTTCGACATTTTTCGCAACTTCCATTATCATCCTCCAGGTTTTTCACAAACAAATATGATAAATCATTGAAGGACGCACAAATTAAGCAAGGTTACATGCAACCAAACCATGCCTCAAGCTAATTATATTTTTCGCTTCAAAATCACTTTTCAAGTTTTTAACTTCTAAAGCCAGAAGAATATTGCGATTCCAAAGCAGCTCGGTTACTCCGGCAAATGCAAATGAACGGCAACATTCTGGTGTTGCGTACAACAGCATAGTTTCGTAAAATAAGCCGGGGGAAGGGTCTGTGGAAAACGGCTCAACCTACCCCAGAATACGCTCAATTATGGGGTTTCCGCCGGATTCGGCCCACTTTCTTCTCAAAATTGCCCCCCCCCCCCAACTGAAATGGGAAACTACAGCCCTGATTGCGCAGACTGTCCAAGCTTACTGCGTCCTGACGCCGGTGCGCATACTGTCCAAGCTTACTGAGCCTTGACGCCGGTGCGCATACTGTCCAAGCTTACTGAGCCTTGACGCCGGTGCGCAGACTGTCCAAGCTTACTGCGCCTTGACGCCGGTGCGCATACTGTCCAAGCTTACTGCGTCTTGACGCCGGTGCGCAGACTGTCCAAGCTTACTGAGCCTTGACGCCGGTGCGCAGACTGTCCAAGCTTACTGAGCCTTGACGCCGGTGCGCAGACTGTCCAAGCTTACTGCGCCTTGACGCCGGTGCGCATACTGTCCAAGCTTACTGCGTCTTGACGCCGGTGCGCAGACTGTCCAAGCTTACTGAGCCTTGACGCCGGTGCGCAAACTGTCCAAGCTTACTGCGTCTTGACGCCGGTGCGCAGACTGTCCAAGCTTACTGAGCCTTGACGCCGGTGCGCATACTGTCCAAGCTTACTGCGTCTTGACGCCGGTGCGCATACTGTCCAAGCTTACTGAGCCTTGACGCCGGTGCGCATACTGTCCAAGCTTACTGAGCCTTGACGCCGGTGCGCAGACTGTCCAAGCTTACTGCGCCTTGACACCGGCATTAAATATTACCTTAATGCTAATTTATAATGCATAGTATGCTGATCAACCATGTGCCACATGTTATATATATATATATATATATATATATATATATATATATATATATATATATATATATACGTATGGTAATGGCAGCACGATGAGCAAGGATCAATAATATCGATAGCTCATATGCAAGTACAGGCAATGCTGATAGAAGGCTGGGAAATGCTCGTGGTGAAATACTAATTATTGTTTTGCAGAAATACTACAGTGCAAAGAAAGAACAGGCAGTAGAAGGCAAAATAGTATGCAGTCAGGTTGGAGATTCTGTAACCTCATTAGTATGCAACTAAAGCACGTTTTCATGATGTAATTCCTTCCATGACCACGACGCCCTCAGGTGCATCGTTACTACCATTCTGGCGCCACCGTGTTCCGGACGGCAACACCAACCGCAAAGACCATCCGGAAACCCCATCCCCAACACCAGCCCCCCCCCCCCCCCCTCCCGAGTCCGTGCACCCGATGCGCCTCAGGCGGCTCGCTGCATATGTCAGCGTTTGAATTGTCCGGGCTCCGTGTGTGCCGACCCTTTATTGGCAGAATCGCGCCGCGTCCTACACCGGCGCTGATTGGCTGGCAGCCCGGAGGGGCGGAGCCTCAACGTAGGAGGTTATAAGTTTAGGTCATGGCGCGGAGGAGTCCAGTTGCTGAGGACTGTGGGGCCTAGGGCGGGCTAGGACAGGCAGTGAGGGACTGTTGAAGTGCACGATGAAGTCAAAGAAGCTGCCGCCAGCCATCTTCAAGCGGTCGCGTCGTCTGAAGCGACCACCGTCCGTGGAGCGGGACGGCATCCGCTCCCTCCTGAACAGGTTGCAGCTGATTGTGCCGGAGGCGCCCAAGGACCGTCAACTGCCTCAGGTGCAGGTCATCCAGCACGTCATCAACTACATCTGCCACCTGCAGGACCAGGTCGTGCAGCACCCGCGCTTCAGCAAAATGAAGATTCCGAAGGAGATCGCAGAGGCACTTGCTAACCAAGTGCAGCAAGAGGTGAGCATGACTTCCCATAAAGGAGCGGGTCGGGAGACTACGCTGTTTTCACCGGGAATGCAGCAAATTGGTTGCCTTTATAGTGAAGTGAAATTCGAGTTAAGCCACATAATTCACAATGTATTGCGTTTCCGGGCCTCGTCGGTGGCATCTATCTGCCGTTGTTAAGACCTCGTCGGTTGCGTCTGCCGTCGTCGTCATCTGCCGTCGTTCAGGCGTCGAGAGCGAGCTTTACCAATCATTGTACCTCCTCGGCAAGTCACTTCTACTCATGCACATTATTACAACTGTACACATCGCTTTCCTGAGCTTCAAACCGCCCGTCGTAACAAGCACCAGACGCCTCTTCTGATCCAGCGGCACCCTGACCTGTCGCTTGACCCCTCGCTCACGGTGACCCTGTGTCCCCAGCGTGACCCGGCCCGGACGCAGACCTCCGAAGAGCCGCAGCCAGACACGCGGCCGCCGTCCTAGAAGGTGCCGCGGCTGGACCAGAAAACCAAGTACAAATCCGCCGTGCGCCGGGTCGCAGCGGCTGCGGCCCGCTGACCCAGGTGTGCACGCGGCGAGGAGCGGGCGTCCACGCCGGGCGGGGAGGGAAGCCTGAGGGCTGCGGGCTCTCGGCGGGCCTACGGTGCCGCCAGCGGTCAGCAGCCCGTGGTCTGCCGACCCTGACGCGTGGTCTGTCCCAACACGCCGTCTCTTGATCCTGGCGTACGTCTGTGCAGGCCCTGTCAAGTGGTCTGCAACCACCGTCGCCTTATTGCCTGGTCTGCGGACCCTGCCACACAGTCTGCAGCGTGGCCGGCAGGCCGTCCGGTGGTCTGCAGACCCTCGCAAGTGGCATGCAGCGTCGGTCGCCCGGCCTGCAGGTGGACACGTGGGGAGGCCTGGTCCGTTTCCGGGCCAGGCGCGTGTTCTCTCAACGACACCCCCGTAGCAGTTGTGCATTCCCTGCTGTACAAATGGAGCGTATCCCTGGTTACGTTAATCCGATATAAATATCGTCCCTGTGATCCCTTTTGTCTGTGATATGTCCTGTTCGAGATTATTATCGAATAAACAATGACGTTTAATTGCATTCGGTCTCTAGTCTCCGACTGAGAGCGCTCTTTCCAGCGCTCGCCAACACGCTGCAGACCATCGCACGGCGCGTGCAGCTCCCTCCACCAGCCTCTGCATGGTGGCGTGGGCCTCTGGTGACGCCCCGTCGGTCGTTGGACTCATCACAATCGCAGTCGATTAGCCGGTAACCCGGATAGCTCGGCGCCCAGCCGCCCCAGAGTGCCGACTTGTAAATGGTGGTCACGATCTGCCCGGCATGCCTTTGTCAGGCAGCTAATAGCTTTCCAATCGGTGAAGGTCGCCGCCCGCGAGCTGGACGGCGCGCGGGTTACTGCCGCGCGCCGGCTTCGCACCTGGCGCGCGGCCCGACCTCTGACCTCCCGACGGCTGGCCAGCCCGCGGGGCACGTGATTTTTTTTTTGCACGCCGGCGCCGGGCAAACGCCGGCAGGTAATGTGTCTGCCGTGTCGCGCCTGAAAAACCGCGCGCCGGCAGCAAAAAGCGCGCGGGTGTCGGCGTTTTTCGGCGACTGATCGGGCATCCGTCGCAGCGAGCCATTGTGCCGCGCCGGCGGGTGGCGGCGGCGACACCGCGCCGCGCGCGGAGAGCACCGACGCCGGCTCAGCCGGCTCGCTGGCCGAAAAACGCGCTCGCCGGCGCGGCGCGCGTTTTTCGTCGGCGCCCGGGACCGCAGGTGACACCTGTGCCGGGCGGCGCCGGCGGCCGCAGCGGCTCGCCGTAACTGGATAAGCGGTGGCGTGCGGTGCGCTGGCCGGCGCCGGCACGCGAGAGGGTGACCGCCGCACGTGGGGCTGGCCGAGACCTGCCCGTCCCCCCGCTAGCTCCCGCCGCCGTTGAGGGGGGGGGGGCAAGGTCACTGCGTCGCGGCACACCGGCTCGGGGAAAATGCGGCGACGTTTGGCGCGAGCACGGGTGGAGTCCGACAGACACGGAACTGCACCCGTCACGACATCGCGGACACCAGCTGACGGAAAGCGGCCTCGGACGATTGCGTTGGAATTGCGCGTCGCAATGCGGACATTTGCGTGACCGCCTCGGGGCAGCGGCGCGTGCAGGTGTACGCCGCTGGGCCGCCAGCTGGTGCATTGATTCACGACTGTAATCCTGCACTCCGCAGGTTAACCGCGTCTTGCAGATTGACCTTGTGTCTTACGCAGCCGCACTCACAGAGGTATGGTCTTGCTGTACGTGTGGAAAGCAGAGGTGTTTCAGCTGGTGCATGAAAGCACGGCCTTAATATTTCGAAATACTGCTGGAGTCCCACGTTCATTGTTGTCAAGTGCCACCCTGTAATAAAACCAACTCGCAAGCGAAGGCAGACAAGTCCAGGCTCCCTTTGCGCTCACACACGACCTCGCGCAGCGCAGAGATAGAACACTTTGTCGTGCTCTCAAAGTCAAATGTTCGAAGCTCACTACCGGCGATGTTTTCTTTGGTGGCATCCGTCGTACTAACATCTACTACCCGGAGCTGCGTGAAAGACCGCGACACACCAGTCGTGCATGTTGCGCGTTAACACAAATCGTCTTAACAGTCTGACAGCTAGCATAGGTAGCAGAGCAATAAAAGGAACCGCCACATATTTTATGGGGTTTTAAACTGAGGTAGTCGTTGTCAAGATTACTCCCTGCAGTTCACAGTTATGCATTTGCAAGGCGTCAAACCTTTTCGTGTCAGGTTCCCACGAACCTGTGCAGACTATTCCGCATCGCCTATTTAGAGTGCACGACGGATGACACCGCGGCGGACGTGTGCGATCCAGCAGAAGGATTCTGAGGCACGAATGTCATTAGACGAACTGGAAGTCAAACCGGGCTCGCAACTTTTCCGTCGTCAAAATCCAGGGAGCGGTATCAGAGCTACCAGGGGCCGAGTTCGATTCGGTGTCGATGCGTTCTTCTTTTTCTTCCCACGCTTCCCAATGGTCGGGAAGCAGGGAGGGACCGAAGCATGTATCCCGTATCCCGCCTTTGGGTGGTGCTACTCCAGCGCCGTCAAGACATGATAAGGATATAAACGATAATTATTTCCGAGGCCAAATGACGCCGCCAGCGCTTCGTGACCACATTACGCCTCTTCACTGAAGTCGCGAACACTGTCGTCATGACGACCACCGTGCGCACCACTGCTGGTGCGAATGAAGAACGTTTGCAATTGGCCCAGCGGGCAAGAGACTGTCACCAAGGGGCACATTGGTGAAGTTTGAACCAGTGCGGCACATGGATCATGTGATACTGCCGTGTCCAAAGTCAAAGTGCGCCTCGAAAGAGCCACTGTGGTAAACGCCATAGGAGACAAATCAAAGATATTGCTTAACGTTTCGTCGAATTCGAGGCATCAAGCCTTCACATTTACATATATTTTTGTCCCAACAGTGCTTACGGGCCGGGCCGTCGTAAGCTGACCCGGCCCAGAATTTTGAAATCGTGTAACCTATTTAAAATTCTAAGTTGTCCTGAATCCCCACAATTCAAACATTAGACAAGTGCCTTATAGGTAGCGCCGCTACGTATGGTCGCTCGGCACTTTTGACAAGCGCTCTGGCTGTATGTGCTGCTCCCATGACCGACTTGTTGGCAGTTATAGCAGCGGGGTGGGTTCAGGATGAAATCTCGACCAGAGTAGCGAAGATGGCCAGCAGTACAAGTTTCAGATAGGTGATCCGTTTGGTATGTGAGGACGAGCAGGCATGTGCAGCCTCTATTACCGTCTTTCAATGTCATTGGACCAAGGACATGATAATCCTTTCCGGTGCGCAGACCACCCAGAATTTTGTCCTCGGTCATGAGGCGTACTTCAGGGCGAAGATCGTCACCTTGATGGTGTTCCGGGCGTAGCAGATCGAGACGCTGACAACCTTTCCGCAGAATTTGGTGATTTTCATGATGACCTTGTCCTGAGAATGTTTTTTTTTCTTTTGCTGGCTAGAGAGCTATTTGTCGGAATTTCAATAGCGAGACCATATGCACTGCAAACAGCCTGAATTTGCTCGCTCGAACAGAAAACATTTACTTTCCGAAATACAACATTCCCGTCCGTTGATTTCACAACCAAAGATGAGCCGAGAGGATCTAGAGAAGGTTCAGAGTACAGGTTTGGCGAGATGTGCCAAGACAAGCATGGTCAGAGCCCGACCCAAGGTACCCGTCCACTGGAGCCAGGGGTCTTTGTCGCAGTCAAGCGAGGGTCAGCGGCGGTTTGTGGCAAATGATCAACAAAGGCAGATCCAGAGTCACTGTCTGGAGACGCGATGATATCGGCAGAGGGGGGGGGGGGGGGGGGGGGGTGGTGGCAGATCCAGAGTCTTTTAATGTTATGTGACTCTGACATCATGCAAATATTCCGTGACGTAATCAAATGACAACGTAATGAGCTGTGCGTTTACTAAATAAAGAAATGATGTCATCTAGAGCAATCTTTTGCACTCAAATGCATACCAATAGTCACAAGTGAGCTTTCTCCAACATATCTGACGCCTGCCTTAATGTCTTCCAATGTGCAGCATTACTGTTGACAATCGGGGTGGTTCGAAGTCGCATCTTCTCGCGGCCAGCTGAGCGTCGGCGGCGAGGGCAATTGTGAGTGACCGTGGGTAAAGCGGCGCCGACACACGAAACAACGCGCTGTCGTGATCTGGTTCCCGATCCGATCCTGTCCTGTTGCCGGTCAGCCACCGCGGCACGTCTCGGCCATCGTCGGAGATCAGGCAGGCAGCAGCAGCCCATGACATTTACATCGGAGACACGCTTTTCATGCAATGATGGACAATCATGCTATCTCATCGATTGCGATATTTTATGACCTCCGCGACATCCTTTAATGGCACTGAACTATCGCGGCTCGACATAATGCGTTGGTCAGATATGATGACTACAACTTGGCAAGGAATTTTTGTTTGAACTCGCTAGTTCAAACCCTTTCAAAAGCAAAACAAGTGGAAAACCTGCAGCTTTGATCACGCTTTGGATACCTTTTAAGACGCATCTTGGGTGGCTTTCAACAATGGACTTAAAGCACGTATCCTTCACACTTGACATCAAGGAAAATGAGCAAACAGTTCAAGCCTTGCCGGAACCTGACTCCTTTAGAAAACAATGCCCAAATGACCACCGGCATAAATCTGACCTTCGCATAATATCTGGGTATTATGCACCAACACACACATGGTATCGCCATTTTCAAGGCGCCTGTATGAGCACGCGGTATCTGCAGCGTCTCTGACCGCTTCCTCCGAGGTTACCGGCGCACACGTGTCTAACCCGGAGGCACTTGGGCTGGCTTCAGACTGGTCAAAGTATCGCCATGCAGTCGTATATTCCAAACCAACCTCCGAGTTTGTTTCATATTTCCGCCGTAATCCTCGCGTATAATCGCAATTTTAAGGTCCACAATAGCTGCATGCGCAGAAAATCAACAAAACACTGGCAGCACCAGCTGCCTCGCCGTGCCGGCGGCCGACTGTAGCTGTTGCCCAGGGCACCTGTTCACAGTGCCCCTCTCCCCAGAGTCTCTCAGCGCGGTCCTCCTAACTCCGCCCCGCAGTCGGCGAAAGTCGCCCGGCCACGCCCCATCCACCGTGGGAACCGCCACACGCACGTGACCCCCCGGCCGCGCAGTGACGCGCCAGATTCGCTGCGCCGCCAAATCACAGGGCTCGGCGGCGATTGCGGCGCGAGCGGTCACCGGCGCCTCGCCGCGCCGGCGTCGATGACGCGTCAGGATCGCCGCGAGATTGGCACAACACGAGGTCAGGTCAGGTCAGGGAGCTGGCCTGTGCTGGACCGTGCCGCAGCGAAATGAACGGATTCGTTTCTGCTTCCGGCGTAGACTTAGAACAATTATTGTGTTCAGCGAAGACTGATCCTTATCCTGTCAATGGTTATACTTCGTTTTTACTCAAATGGAAGAAGCCAAAATACAGGCTGGAACGCAAGCAGTTTATATTTATTTGCTATTGATACCGCCAGGACTTCCAACACAGAGTGTTTTTTCCGC